GTGTCAGAGATGATCGGAGGATCTGCAGCCGAGTGATACACAAATCAGATACATTGTTGCTCAGAGTTCGGGGACTCGGAGGGATTTGTAGGATTAATCTCCGGAGTTTAGTGTCACGTTGAAGGGAGGCCATTAGTCTGCGTTCACGGAGTAGACATTTTGATTTATTATTTTTTAACATTTGCCAGAAACTTCGGAGTGTCTCATACAAAACAGTCAAACTGCCTGAAACTGATGTAAAAATGTATACATTTTTTAGGATTTAGGATACATTGTTGTTCGGGGTTCAGGTTCCTAAATGTACTTTTAGGATTTAATTCCGGAGTTTCGTGTCACTTTATTGTCTGAATTGGCTGCAAATTGATGCAGAAGAGTTAAAAAAAAAAAAAGAAATGCCATTTGCACACTGCGCGCAGCTAAAGTAAATATTCTCCACTACAGCACTGTGATCAGAATACGGCCCCTTGGGAGGTTTTTAAGCTGAGACGGAATTCTCTACAAGCCGTGCAGGAATTCTTCACAACAAATGGGAACATTTCGGTGAATGAGAAACTGGTAGAGCCGGTAAAAAATATAAATCAAAAAGAGGATTTGTTAAATAAAAATGACATTGCGCGATCTATTACCAAAAATCAACGTGAGAGCCCCTCTCCGGTCTGCAGCGGTGACATCTCTATACAGATTACATTGTAGCAGCCCAAAGCAACCAGCAAAGCCAACAAAGCGCAACACGGGGAAGAGTTCCATGTTATCACTTCCAAAGAGCTTCATTCCTCGTCTATAACCCTGAGATAGAGAATTATAACGCAGATAAGACTTCCTGGCCGCCGTCAGTGCAAGGAGTGAACACCGCGGCGTGATTGCATTTCATCCGCAAATTAGAGGTCAATGCAGGCAGCAGGCAAGGATGGTCCATTTCCAGACAGAGATTGAGACAAGAAGCAGGAAGGGATGGTTGGTTTCCAGGCAGTTGTTGAGGCAGGCAGCAGGCCAGGATAGCCAGTTTCCAGGCAGAGGTTGAGGCAGGCAGGGATGGTCCTTTTCCAGGTCGAGGCAGGCAGCAGGTAGGAATGCTTGATTTCTAGGTAGCGGTTGAGGCAGGCAGCAGGCCAGGATAGCCAGTTTGCAGGCAGAGGTTGAGGCAGGCAGGGATGGTCCTGTTCCAGGTAGAAGTTGAGGCAGGCAGCAGATAGGGATGGATGGTTTCCATGCAGAGGTTGAGACAGGCAGCAGGCAGGGATGGTTGGTTTCCAGGCAGAGGTTGAGGCAGGCAGGGATGGTTGGTTTCCAAGCAGTGGTTGAGGCAGGCAGCAGGCGAGGATAGACAGTTTCTAGGCAGAGGTTGAGGCCGGCAGGGATGGTTGGTTTCCAGGCAGAGGTTGAGGCAGGCAGCAGGCAGGGATGGTTGGTTTCCAGGCAGAGGTTGAGGCAGGCAGCAGGCAGGGGTGGCTGGGTTTCCAGGCAGAGGCTGAGGCAGGCAGGGATGGTTGGTTTCCAGGCAGAGGTTGAGGCAGGCAGCAGGCAGGGATGGTTGGTTTCCAGGCAGAGGTTGAGGCAGGCAACAGGCAGGGATGGTTGGTTTCCAGGCAGAGGTCGGGGCAGGCAGCAGGCAGGGATAGTTGGTTTTCAGGCAGAGGTTGAAGCAGGCAGGGATGGTTGGTTTCCAGGCAGAGGTTGAGGCAGCCAGCAGGCAGGGATGGTTGGTTTCCAGGCAGAGGTCGAGGCAGGCAGCAGACAGGGATGGTTGGTTTCCAGGCAGAGGTCGGGGCAGGCAGCAGGCAGGGATGGTTGGTTTTCAGGGAGAGGTTGAAGCAGGCAGCAATAATCAGGAGACACAGGCAGAGTCAGGCAATATGTCTCAGCAGTAGAAGAGGTAGAAGTCAGGCTAAGCACGCTCACAAGGAACCTGTGAAAAAGTCACATCACCGGCCACAATAGGGGAAAGGGTTTCAATACCGTCCTAGACATGTGCACGCCCTCGATCAGCCATGCGCATGTCACATGTGCACCCGACCCGACCACGGCCAAAATGCCACAACCATGACTGTAACATGCCGCGTGCAGACAGGGTGGTCACAGCCACCGCAGGTACCGCAACCCTTTTACAGGGTCCTCCCAGTCTAACCCCTCCCAGCTAGTGACAGGGTCCCTTTAAACAATCATATATACACACAATGGGGGGCATTTGGTCTTGTTGCACCAATTGCCCTAAAAATGGAACCGGAGCACCCGGTGAAATCCATCCACGCTCCATGCACATAATATATTGCGCCCCCGTAGAGCGCCTGCACTCTGTGTCTCTGCTATTGGGGGGGGGGGGTGTTAGTTAGGAACAGGTTTTGGCCCTTCCCTCGGGGTCGGGGGTCCCAGCACTCCGCGGGGGTATTTCGGAGCTGATAATAGCAGATAGAGGGACGGGGGATTTGGGCTGTAACATGTTTCTCATCTCTCTGGAGGGTTAACAGTTCATCCGTAATGTTTTCCGAATGTCTGCGCTAGACCTCCGAATGTGCGCGGTGGTGGCGGGCGGCCGGAGATGTTGACTAACATGTGTTTGAATTTAAGTTTTCATCTTTTTGGCTACTGTTTTTCCAGGCAGCCGCCCAAAGGTCTGGTGTCGGGCCCCCGGAGGGGTGACGGGGGGGGAGCCGATCCCGGGGGGTGTACGGGAGGCACAATTATACAATCACATTGTACATGGAAGCGGTTAAGGTTAATATGACTTGGCACACACATGACATGGGGAGATCTCCGTCGCATCGCATCACGCGTGTTCTCGGCACGTTTCCATTCTACATACATCACATGGAAGGCTTCTTAAAGGGGAAGGGGGACGGTTTAGAAATATAAGAATCTCTGGAAGCAAAATTCTACTTGGGGACATCAATGTATCAATTTACAAATCATCTGAAGGTGAAACTCCAATCAACACTTCACATCTCAGGATCTCCGTTATGTTTCTCCGTTATGTTTCACATGTATGTCCTCCTTTCCCGTACATGCAAGTACTGTTCATATGCGGAATTTCCCGCCCTTCCCAATCATGGAGGCTCACTGTCACATGTGGGCGTTGCGTAAGGCGGTCTGCATGCAAAAACAGCATACACATATTTGCATAACTCCTCCCAAAAGCCCACCCACTGCTTACATCAGGGCGGAGGGCTCTTAAGAGGAGTACTGAGGCAGGATGCTGTGATGTTTTCAGGAAGCTACTGTATGTACAGCCCCCTTGCATGTCACAGAGACCCAGTGATGACATCACCGGGAATAAAATAAGATATGTCATGAAAACAGGTTTTATCAAAAAAAAATAATTATATTGATTAGGGGGAAGGGGCAGTGGCGTCACAAGGAGGGTGCGGCCCGCACCCAGGTGCCACCATTGGAGGGGTGACACCAAATGAATGTCATTTTGGTGTCACCCCCTATGAAAAGTTGGGCACTCGGTCACAGACCGAGAGACTGACAGTGTCAGGAGGGGACCCAGCGGCATACCTCGTCCCGCCGGGTGAATTTCCCCTCCTCTCTCTGCCCCCGCCGTGACGTCACGGCGGGGTGTCACCCGGTCTCCACTCCAGGTGACACCCAGCCCCGGGACGCCACTGGGGAGGGGAGGAAAGGTTGCACAAGACAGGAAGTTAAGGCAGACTTTGCGCAGACAGGGACAGAAATAAATATCTGTTGGGGGTTGTACTCTTCCCTCCCATTTTCATTTCTGACTGTGTCCCTGCTGCAGATTTTCTTTGATTTCCTGTCTGGTACAACAGTGTCACCTGGACAGGAAGTGAGAGTAAATCTCTCTGATGCCGTCAAGAATAGCAGTGAAAACCTGACAGAGGTCCTAATCCTTCTCCGCGCTATTCAACACTAGCAAAATACATGTTGGGTTTACGTTCACTGTAACAATGGACGCATCATAACTGCGGCTTTAAGCACCGAAGGCACATCCAGAGCCAAGCAGAGTGTGTGTGAGAGTACCAACAGCTGCAACCAATCCTTAACAGTGGGTGCCCCGCCCCCGAGGACCAGCGAACGACACATGATTCGATCATCATCAGTAAGCCCCCATTCACACAGGAATCGGCTCGCATGTACAGCTCCGTGCACGGCTGTATCGGGCAGCTTCCGGGAAGGACAGATGCTGCATGTGATTTAGTACGTAGCCCCTGTCCTTCTCTATGTGACTACGTGGCCGCACGCCCCCCTCAAGTGCAGGTCCGTAGGGGTGCGTATTCCTGGCTCAGACGCAGACAGGATCCATCCTGTCAGCGTACGAGTATGCACACCCGCCGGCCGTGTAGTCCCATAGAGAAGAACGGGGGCTGCATAGTAATCACACGCAGCAGCTGTCCTCCCCGGGGGAGCTGCCCGGTACGGCCGTGCACGCGCCGGCCGATTCCCGTGTGAATGAGGCCTAAAGCTCCTGACCCGACTGGCTTTATATACAGCAATTGGTGTCCAAAGTCCATGTGATGTATGAAAGGGGAACCGCGCTCTGAGAGAAAAGCGGGATACATACAAGACCGAGAACCATCAGACATAAAATATTCCCAATACAGAATCCATCTAGAGCAGGGGTAGCAAACCTCCCGCCCTCCAGCTGTGGTGGAACTACAAATCCCATGAGGCATTGCAAGATTCTCACAGCCACAGACATGACTCCCCAAGAGAGATGCATCATGGGATTTGTAGTTTGACCCACAGCTGGAGGGCCGAAGGTTTGCATACACCTGATCTGGAGGAAAGAGACTCAATGTGGGGTCAGCACTGGACTGATGTACACTGAAGCCTGGGAGGAGGCGGGGCAGTGGCACGGAGTCACAATTTTCCCATAATGCACCACAGCAGATGACTCGGCCGATGATGGTGCAGAACCTTGAAGACGATACAACTTATAATACATTGTAAATGGTTTTTGTATTACATGGAATTCCCGCAATGAGCCGCAGCCACAATGGCGGCCATGATGGTGAATACATTGAAGTCAATGACTCGCTCACCTGGAGCCGTTCATGTGCTCGTATTCCCTCTTGATGTTCACCCGCATAGGTTGTTGGTTGATCCATTCTTGGTGCGGCGGCATGGCGTTAATCTTATGCGGCTGGCCATAGTCCGCGTTCCCCGACGCCGTCATTTCTGCCTTGGCTAGCTGCGAGGTCGCTCCATAGGCCGAATCAAACAGGGACTGGTCGTCACTCACCACAGACAGAGCTTCCTGCGGAAAGAAAAGAGGAACAAATGTAACCAATGAGATCTCATCTAAGATATAAATGTCCTATTCAGTCTTATTAAATCGGCATTAATCCCGGGTGATCCCGCCATGGGGGTCCTTGTGCAGGCACTTCCTGTTATACGGTGACAACCCTCTATCCCAACCTCCCAATTGTGCTCCTTTGTTGTCACCCTGGCTTCTGATGTAGACTACAAGTTGCCGTTTTATCACACAATACACAGACATGGTCCAATGTTGTCACCATCAGGAAACCCACCCTGAGAGATGCCAGGCATCCATCACTAGAGTGCATCTAGCCAAGAAATGGCTGCAAAGAGGCTGCAGGAGATCAGCATCACTGAGATGGAACAAAGGAGGGAAAGGTAAAAACAAGTGTTTTATTTAAAGCGCAACTCTGTGATAAGAAAATATTGTCCTCATACAAGATCTATGTGTATTCTTTGTGAGATTTGTGTATTTCTGCCAGATCTGTGCAGTATTCCAGTGTGAGACTTGAAGCTTCCTATAATAAAGACCGCTCACTGCTGCTCTCTCCTTGTGCAGGGTGACTGGTCTCGTCTCCGCCCCTTCCTGTAATAAAGACCGCCCACTGCTGCTCTCTCCTTGTGCAGGGTGACTGGTCTTGTCTCCGCCCTGTCCTGTAATAAAGACCTGTCACTCCTGTTCTCTCTCCTTGTATAGGGTGACTGGTCTCGTCTCCGCCTCTCAAGTGCAGGTCCGTAGGGGTGCGTATTCCTGGCTCAGACGCAGACAGGATCCATCCTGTCAGCGTACGAGTATGCACACCCGCCGGCCGTGTAGTCCCATAGAGAAGAACGGGGGCTGCATAGTAATCACACGCAGCAGCTGTCCTCCCCGGGGGAGCTGCCCGGTACGGCCGTGCACGCGCCGGCCGATTCCCGTGTGAATGAGGCCTAAAGCTCCTGACCCGACTGGCTTTATATACAGCAATTGGTGTCCAAAGTCCATGTGATGTATGAAAGGGGAACCGCGCTCTGAGAGAAAAGCGGGATACATACAAGACCGAGAACCATCAGACATAAAATATTCCCAATACAGAATCCATCTAGAGCAGGGGTAGCAAACCTCCCGCCCTCCAGCTGTGGTGGAACTACAAATCCCATGAGGCATTGCAAGATTCTCACAGCCACAGACATGACTCCCCAAGAGAGATGCATCATGGGATTTGTAGTTTGACCCACAGCTGGAGGGCCGAAGGTTTGCATACACCTGATCTGGAGGAAAGAGACTCAATGTGGGGTCAGCACTGGACTGATGTACACTGAAGCCTGGGAGGAGGCGGGGCAGTGGCACGGAGTCACAATTTTCCCATAATGCACCACAGCAGATGACTCGGCCGATGATGGTGCAGAACCTTGAAGACGATACAACTTATAATACATTGTAAATGGTTTTTGTATTACATGGAATTCCCGCAATGAGCCGCAGCCACAATGGCGGCCATGATGGTGAATACATTGAAGTCAATGACTCGCTCACCTGGAGCCGTTCATGTGCTCGTATTCCCTCTTGATGTTCACCCGCATAGGTTGTTGGTTGATCCATTCTTGGTGCGGCGGCATGGCGTTAATCTTATGCGGCTGGCCATAGTCCGCGTTCCCCGACGCCGTCATTTCTGCCTTGGCTAGCTGCGAGGTCGCTCCATAGGCCGAATCAAACAGGGACTGGTCGTCACTCACCACAGACAGAGCTTCCTGCGGAAAGAAAAGAGGAACAAATGTAACCAATGAGATCTCATCTAAGATATAAATGTCCTATTCAGTCTTATTAAATCGGCATTAATCCCGGGTGATCCCGCCATGGGGGTCCTTGTGCAGGCACTTCCTGTTATACGGTGACAACCCTCTATCCCAACCTCCCAATTGTGCTCCTTTGTTGTCACCCTGGCTTCTGATGTAGACTACAAGTTGCCGTTTTATCACACAATACACAGACATGGTCCAATGTTGTCACCATCAGGAAACCCACCCTGAGAGATGCCAGGCATCCATCACTAGAGTGCATCTAGCCAAGAAATGGCTGCAAAGAGGCTGCAGGAGATCAGCATCACTGAGATGGAACAAAGGAGGGAAAGGTAAAAACAAGTGTTTTATTTAAAGCGCAACTCTGTGATAAGAAAATATTGTCCTCATACAAGATCTATGTGTATTCTTTGTGAGATTTGTGTATTTCTGCCAGATCTGTGCAGTATTCCAGTGTGAGACTTGAAGCTTCCTATAATAAAGACCGCTCACTGCTGCTCTCTCCTTGTGCAGGGTGACTGGTCTCGTCTCCGCCCCTTCCTGTAATAAAGACCGCCCACTGCTGCTCTCTCCTTGTGCAGGGTGACTGGTCTTGTCTCCGCCCTGTCCTGTAATAAAGACCTGTCACTCCTGTTCTCTCTCCTTGTATAGGGTGACTGGTCTCGTCTCCGCCCCCTCCTGTAATAAAGACCGCCCACTGCTGCTCTCTCCTTGTGCAGGGGACTGGTCTTGTCTCCGCCCTTTCCTGTAATATAGACCGCCCACTGCTGCTCTCTCCTTGTGCAGGGTGACTGGTCTTGTCTCCGCCCCCTCCTGTAATAAAGACCTGTCACTCCTGTTCTCTCTACTTGTACAGGGTGACTGGTCTTGTCTCCGCCCCCCTCCTGTAATAAAGACCGCTCACTGTTGCTCTCTCTACTTGTACAGGGTGACTGGTCTTGTCTCCCCCCCCTCCTGTAATAAAGACCGCTCACTGTTGCTCTCTCTCCTTGTACAGGGTGCCTGGTCTTGTCTCCGCCCCCTCCTGTAATAAAGACCGGTCACTGTTGCTCTCTCTACTTGTACAGGGTGACTGGTCTTGTCTCCGCCTCTCCAGTTCGTTCCCCGACGCCGTCATTTCTGCCTTGGCTAGCTGCGAGGTCGCTCCATAGGCCGAATCAAACAGGGACTGGTCGTCACTCACCACAGACAGAGCTTCCTGCGGAAAGAAAAGAGGAACAAATGTAACCAATGAGATCTCATCTAAGATATAAATGTCCTATTCAGTCTTATTAAATCGGCATTAATCCCGGGTGATCCCGCCATGGGGGTCCTTGTGCAGGCACTTCCTGTTATACGGTGACAACCCTCTATCCCAACCTCCCAATTGTGCTCCTTTGTTGTCACCCTGGCTTCTGATGTAGACTACAAGTTGCCGTTTTATCACACAATACACAGACATGGTCCAATGTTGTCACCATCAGGAAACCCACCCTGAGAGATGCCAGGCATCCATCACTAGAGTGCATCTAGCCAAGAAATGGCTGCAAAGAGGCTGCAGGAGATCAGCATCACTGAGATGGAACAAAGGAGGGAAAGGTAAAAACAAGTGTTTTATTTAAAGCGCAACTCTGTGATAAGAAAATATTGTCCTCATACAAGATCTATGTGTATTCTTTGTGAGATTTGTGTATTTCTGCCAGATCTGTGCAGTATTCCAGTGTGAGACTTGAAGCTTCCTATAATAAAGACCGCTCACTGCTGCTCTCTCCTTGTGCAGGGTGACTGGTCTCGTCTCCGCCCCTTCCTGTAATAAAGACCGCCCACTGCTGCTCTCTCCTTGTGCAGGGTGACTGGTCTTGTCTCCGCCCCCTCCTGTAATAAAGACCTGTCACTCCTGTTCTCTCTACTTGTACAGGGTGACTGGTCTTGTCTCCGCCCCCCTCCTGTAATAAAGACCGCTCACTGTTGCTCTCTCTACTTGTACAGGGTGACTGGTCTTGTCTCCGCCCCCTCCTGTAATAAAGACCGGTCACTGTTGCTCTCTCTACTTGTACAGGGTGACTGGTCTTGTCTCCGCCCTCTCCAGTAATAAAGACTGGTCACTGTTGCTCTCTCTACTTGTACAGGGTGACTGGTCTTGTCTCCGCCCTCTCCTGTAATAAAGACTGGTCACTGCTGCTCTCGCTTGTTGTGCCTGGTCTTGGGTCTTGTCTGCTCCCTGTAATGGGTGGAGCCTGTAAACTACAAGTTGATATCTTGGTTTGGCAAGGCATTTGGGTCACACAGATTGGATTTATATCCTTAGTGGGTATTGAGGAATAGATGTAAATGAAAGTATCTGCGCTCTGTGACATAAACCAACTAAACGTCATTCAGTTTTCATCTCCCATAAGAATGATCGGGTTCTGGATGGACAGTAAACGTCCTTACAATGCGTGGATACAACCTCGGCATTGGATACATTGTATCCTCGGGAGGGATTCCGGCTGGAATGTGTTTGTTACATAATAACATCCGGAGGATTGTGCCGGGCGGATGACGTTGTGCTGTCAGTGCTTCCTCTGCCCTCTTCATTCACATTTACCCGTCACATTCACCCATCGACGCCCATTACTGAGCTCATGTGCGCAGGCATACCCGGAACGGTGCGTCCGGTCGCATGGCCCGCGCTGTTTTGGACTTTCATGCGTTTCTACCTTTTACACGAGATTAGTGTTGGGGGAGCGGAGTTGTTATGGTGACGGCCAATAACATTTCGGCATCTGGCTCTCTCCTCCCGCCTGAGTTGCGTGAAAGCTGACACAAGGTCTTTTGTGCGGATTCTGCCCGGAGGCTGTTTATGTGGCCCCTGGGAGCACCGGGCTCCAATGATGTTATACATTCCATCCACAAGTGCAACCAGAACAAGTTGTATCGGAGCGTGATCACCGCCGGCACCAAAACCCCAGCCGCTCAGTGATCGCGCCCCCCACCCCCACGCCACCCCCACTCAGACATGATCGCACTTCCTGGTCTCATTCTTCAAGGTGAATGTTCAGGACGCCATTTGTTAGGGTTCGGATGGTTGAAGCGGAAATGTAATCTGCTTATAATTTACCTTCCCACATTTCTAAAACAATGCGTTCCATTTTCATCACATCTCATATTGTATGCCTGGTGATGTCATCACTGGGTCTCTGTTCTTTTCTAAGCAAAGCATCAGAATTTTGATTGGCCGCTAGTTCTGCCCCTAC